GGGGCCAGGACTGAGGGGTGGCTGCCCCCGCAGGAGACCCGCATCCGGGCCACGGAGAAGGATGCTCGGAGCAAGCTGCACAGCCTGTCTGTGACCAACCGCTACGGGGGTGAGGAGGTGACCCACACGCTGCTGGCCGAGAGCCGGGCTGACGTGCAGCGCTGGATGGAGGCCTTCTGGCAGCAGTTCTACGACATGAGTGAGCTTCAGGGCAGGGGCAGAGCCCAGGGGGTCCTGGGGGCAGGGGTACGGGGTGCGGTCTCCCCAGGACCCGCGGTGCATGGTCCTGCCTGCACCCACGTACACGGAGACATGGTCTCCCCAGATCCATGGTGCACGGTCCTGCCTGCACCCTCATGCACGAGGCTGCTGCCATCATCCCTGGGCTCCACTTTGGGGCAACCAGCCTGGGGGGTCCCCTGATGTGCCCTCCCTCCCTCCCCCTCCCAGGCCAGTGGAAGCAGTGCTGTGATGAGCTGATGAAGATCGACGTGCCCGCCCCGCGCCGGCCCCCGGCCCTGCTGGCCAAGCAGGGCTCCCTGTACCATGAGATGGGTAAGGGGCTGGGGGCCGGGGCACGGGAGGGGGGGTCTCCGCTCTGTCCGTCTCCGTCTCCTTTCTGCAGGGCTCTCACCCACCCTCTACTAACCGCCTGCTCTCGCTGCCTGGGCACCCGTGCCCACTCTGTGCGTTTGTCTGTCTGTCCGTCTGTAACTGCCGCCTTTCTCTCCGTCTCCCCCGCCTGCCCCTGCCCACCACTCCCTGCCTCTCTCTGCCCCTCCTGCCTGCCCCCGCGCTCCAGCTCTGGCGGGCCCGGCCCTGCCACCCGCAGCCGGCGAGGGGCTCCTGCTGCAGGATAATGCGGTCTCCGCCGAGATCCGGGCGCTGCTCTCGTCCTATTACAGCGACAGGTGATGTACCGCCCGGCCTGGCCCAGGACCCAGGCGGCGCCTCCGGACCCCACAACGGGCAATGTCAGCACAGGGGGCTGCGGGCAGCTCCCCGTGATGCCAGGCCTGGCCTCCTCCCACAGTGGCACTGTGGGTGTCTGGGGCAGGAGCAGGGCCGTGGGGCAGCTCCAAGCTACCCCAGGTTGGAGGCGCTGCAGGGCCTGGGGCAACAAGCTGGGTGGGGGGGCAGCTGGTGGCTCCTCCAGCCCCAGCTGGGGTTACTCTGGGGGTGGGGGGCAGCTCCTGGGCACCCCAGCAGGGGGCGCTGCAGGATGGGGGGGCAGATGCAGACCCAGTGCCATTGCCCTGCAGCTATTGAGCCG